CATCATACACCACTCATCATACACCACTCATCATACACCACTCATCAGACACCTCTCATCCGGCACCAAAGAGGCGACCCGGCCCTTTTCTTTGAAGAAAATTCTTTACGCATAGGGATTTGTGGCAGGCACGTCGCGAGAGGAGACTCGATGTTCAAAAAGAATTTAGACAGTGACAAATTGCAGCTCTTTTTTTAGCAGGAAGCGCCGAGAGCGCAAGGCTGACCGCGCGGACCGCAACCGCAAGTCCGCGCGCGAAAAGCTAGCAGCAAAGGACGGCCGAAACAAGAATTCTTGTGCAGTTTTCGGAATTTGTTCGAATTATTCAGGAAGAAGCTCTCCTTGCCAAAAGGAGGAAGGCTCAGAAGGCATGTTATTTTTCGGTTTCCCCGACTCAACGAACGTGCTTTATATTATGCAAGTATAGCCCAAAAGGATTTTTTTTTTGACCTTGCTTGAAGTCGCAATTCCAGTGGTCTTTGCATTGCTCATGACATGTAGAGACAAATGTTGGTAAATAAGAGTTTCTAACTCCGAAGCGCCTGTGCGAAAACAACTGTAGCATAACAGACCAATAACGTAATCGCAGAACTCAAGGCCACGTGCGAACACATCGAGACAATATTGTCGCGAAAAGATACCACGTACTCAACAAGACGAGAAAAGTCCCAAGAGAAGACTGGAAGATAATAAAGATGTAGAGCACTTACCATTTACAAAAGAAAACGAAAGGCAAGAAGAGAGTTACAAGGCTACAAAAACAAGGGCGACAAAAATATGGACAAGATCTGTGACAGCTACCGATACGATGCATACCAGAAGAAGGACGTGGACATGTAAACAACATAAGGAAATCAAATTAACCACAGATATTGCGTGATTTTGAGGGACGTTGAGTCCAGCAACTCCTTCTTATGCCAGGAAATTACGTCGAACTCTTTAAAACAAAAACTTTGAGCATGCCTTGTAGGCTTACACTGTCCCGGCACGCCGCGTGACGTGGACATCCGTGGAAGCCAACCTGGAGTGCAAGGATCTCAACAGGAGTTCGCCGACTCGCTCGAGAGAACCTCATTGCGATGCTGAGGGATCTGGGGCGTCTTAAGCCTGGGGCTCGACCTGGGCGAGATGCTCCAGCAGCACACAGTTGACAAGTTGGTGGACCTGCTCGTCCAACACCCAATCCGAAACATTCTGGTCGTGGCCCGCTGGCGCGAGGTTGAGTACGCCAACCCGCGTGACAAGGACAGGACAGGAAACGAGAGAGAGAGAGAGATCGATCAAGATACATCCTACTATTCCATGGAATTCACTGTTTCAACATATAGCCCCGGCTAATACAACGCATTCTCCACATTTGAAAGCAATTTCTGTCGATCCAGGAGAGGGAGCGTCGCTCCCAAGTGCAGCTCGCCACGGAGCGAGACCTTCGGGCCAGGCTAAAGCGCTTCGAGCGGGCGCAACAGGCTCGAACACGCTCAAATCGAATTCAAAAATCAGCTTCAATTTGGCGCGTGAGGTACAGTGGGAAAGGGCCACCCACAACAACAGACAGCGCAGAGCCCGCTGGCAGCAGCTCAAAGACGGAAAGTCCCAACAGGACACGTCCATTGCGCTCCTCTTTTCAAAATGAAAACCCAAATGCTTTACACACATGGCCCATGGCAGGACAAGCGGGCGTTCGACAGTCTCAAGGAGCGAAATAACCGACTGCGACAGCAGTCGCTCCAGTTAGCTCTAGTTGCAGTTGCAAGAGCTCTAGCTCCAGCTAGCTCTAGTTTCAATAGCTCTAGCTCCAGGTAGCTCTCGTTTCAGTAGTTCTAGCTCCAGTTAGCTCTAGTTTCAATAGCTCTAGCTCCAGTTTACGTGGCAGGCGCAGCACTTCGTGAACCTCCAAGTGCAGATTTCGTGGCAGGCACAGCACTTTGTGAACCTCCATGTGCAGAGTTCGTGGAAGGCACAGCACTTTGTGAACCTCGAGGTGCAGATTTCGTGGCGGGCGCAGCACTTTGTGAACCTCCATGTGCAGATTTCGTGGCAGACGCAGCACTTTGTGAACCTCCATGTGCAGATTTCGTGGCAGACGCAGCACTTTGTGAACCTCCATGCGCAGATTTCGTGGCAGGCACAGCACTTTGTGAACCTCCATGTGCAGATTTTGTGGCAGGCGCAGCACTTTGTGAACCTCCATGTGCATATTTCGTGGCAGGCACAGCCCTGTGTGAACCTCGAGGCGCAGATTTCGTGGCAGGCACAGCACTTTGTGAACCTCCATGTGCAGATTTCGTGGCAGGCGCAACACAAAATGCGTTTTCGAGAGGTAGCGGACGCGCGAAATGCTGTGTTTTTCAATAGAAAGGGTGGCTCCGAAGCTTGCAAGTCTAGCTTTGCGGAACGCTGTGATTAGAGGTTTCAGTTGTTTCTTGAAGTGCAGATTTCGTGGCAGGCACAGCACTTCGTGAACCTCCATGTGCAGATTTCGTGGCAGGCACAGCACTTTGTGAACCTCCATGTGCAGATTTCGTGGGAGGCACAGCACTTTGTGAACCTCCATGTGCAGATTTCGTGGCAAACGCAGCACTTTGTGAACCTCCATGTGCAGATTTCGTGGCAAACGCAGCACTTTGTGAACCTCCATGTGCAGATTTCGTGGCAGGCACAGCACTTTGTGAACCTCCATGTGCATATTTCGTGGCAGGCACAGCCCTGTGTGAACCTCGAGGCGCAGATTTCGTGGCAGGCACATTTTGCTGACCATATCTGCTTGCGAAGCACTTTTGCGGACAGTTGAAAAGCGATTTCTTGGCGCGCCACGGGGTGAAGAGCAAACTGCCACTCTCCAATGAACGGACTGCACAAACCAACCACAGAGTTCAAAAAACAAACCGAAAACCTTTTGACACGTCTGACTGACCCGAAGCCCTTACAATCGTGACGTAGGCCCCTTGCAAGACCAACACGCACTGAACTGGAGCTTCTGGGGCAAGATGCCAGCTCTGCAAAAGAAAAGACTCACGCCCTGCGTTTGCAAACCTGTTTGCTCAATGCCATGCGGCCATGCATTCAAAGAGTTTCTTTGCGCAGGCCCCAAGTCTTGGATGCAGTCGATGATGGAAGAGCGCTGCAACCAATTGGCTTCCGCTAAATGTTGAAGGAGCACTAGAAGCCTGCAGAAACGATTCCGTCTTTGGTGAGATCGCCTTGAACACGTCCTGAACACCACCATTCCATGAAGTGGACAAAAACAACAGCTTCATTGCGCCACTCTTCAGAGCCCACAGTACCCACCACAGAGTTGAGGGGCGCGGCCAAAACAAAGACAGAGGAGGACAAGAAGAGGACAACCAGCCACAGAGGACACAAGAGGAGGACAAGGCCTGGACGCAGAGCCCAGCCACTGAGAACAAGAGACAAGGCCTGGACACAGATCAGGGGCGCGGGAAGTGTGGCCAGCTTGTTTTTCTGAGATAGAACCCGAACAGCAAACGGTTTGGGGAAAAAGGGCTGATGGTTCTTCACAATCTTGACCTGCAGGAATCAAAATGCAGCCCAGTGTTGTGAAGAGCCCCCAGCGTGCAAACTCGGTTTGGACCTGGCCATTCCGGGGCGCTGGGGGAACTAAGACCCAGGAAAAGAAGGCAAGGGCTTGTCTTGTCAAGTGCTCTCCTCTTCTTTTGCTGGCTTGCCAGGAAAGACAAAAGACAAAAAGCTCGAGAAGACATGTGCATGTGCGCCGGTACAGGTTGGCGACTTGATTGGCCACTGATGTTCACATCCGAAGCGAGTGGAGCTGCAGGTCAAGTTTTTTTGGAGCTCGAAGCTGCTGATTTGAGGCTAGTAGGTTGGAGGCCATCACTACGAGTCTTGCGTGTTGTTTTCAACACACGGTGAAACAATTATATTTTTTGGGCCGCAGGCTCTCATTCAGAGGCAAACGGAAGCCACTGAGGAGTTGCAGGTCAATTTTTTTCAGAGCTTGAAGCTGATGGGTTTGGCTGTTGCTGGTGGGTTGGAGGCCATCACTACAAGTCGTGCGCAAGTTCTTTGTTGTTTTCAACACGTAGTGGTATGTTATTGAAAGCCGGTAAGCTTTCATTCAGACGCAAGCGGACGGGCAGTGCGTAGAAAGAGTTTTGCTAAAACCTAGTCTACTAGCATCGTAGAACGAAGATATTCATAGAACCGGGGCCTCGTGAACGTTTCGCGGAATGTTGGCCATTAGGGAACCTGATTGCGCCCAATACCCACAAACCTTCCCAAAGCTTCGTGGAATGTATTTTTGATGCATTAACTTCATATATGCAATTTTTGGCAGTGCGCAGAAAGAGTTTTGCTAAAACCTAGTCTGCTAGCATCGTGGAAGGTCCAGGACATTCGTGGAACCCGGAGCTATTCGCTGAATGTTGGCCATTAGGAAAACTGATTACACCCAAAACCCACAAACCTTCGCAGAACTTCGTGGATGTATTTTTGATGCATGAACTTTGTCTAAACAATTTTTGCTGATCACCTTTCTCCACACACCCTCCATTTAGCCTTGATTCATGTTC